AAAAAATAATTGAATATCAATTCAATAAAAATTTTATTCTTAGAACATATCAAAGGTAGCAATTATTTACAAAAGGTAACAAATCTTGAATATACACTCGATGCGACCAGCCATCCGACGGTCACAATTATAATCAGTTATAATTACACGGAGAAGATGAAATGTCTTTTTAGAAGATACCTTTTGCAAAGGAGTTTTATTTTCTTTTAAATAACTTTTTATAGAAGCTTCCTAAAATAGTGAAAACAAAGTATGTTTAGGTAGAAATTAGGTAGTAGATAAAAAAAGTAAATTATATACTGGAAGAATCATGAAAAATGTAAAGTAGTCCAGCCAACCTGACGTCAGGAATGACTGGCCAGTTTATTTCTTTAATATTTCCGTTCCCGCTAAGGTAAAAAATTTGTCAATAAAGATACTAAGTAGTACAATATACGTAGTAAATAATGAGCACAGTTTGTTATTATTTCGTTTGTGGTCCAGCCATACTGACGGACAGCCTGCTGTGGCCTGAGCATTACTGTTCACGCGGGAATAAGCTTATTCTGATGGAATCATTTTTCAATCTCGAGAACTATATTTCTGCCCTAGCCCGCTTAGCTTTGGTCCGATTGCTGTCTTAAGGTGTGTCCAAACATAAAGCGGCATTCGAGCGCGGCTGCAGCGCGCGGCTTGCCGCGCTATGATTGGACGACTGCCGCGCGCGGCAGCCGCGAGCTACCTGCCGGCAAACTTGTGTCCCGCGAATGCCGCGCGTAGCTGCCGCGCACCTTGCACGCCGTGTTTGGACACACCTTTAGAAAGTACAAGATTCATTATCTATGATGTGGAGTAGATGCTACTCCAGAGAGAAAGATAAGAGGAGGCAACAATACAGCGAAACAGGCGACATAGCGAGGACAGACAGAACGGGGAAATAAAACACGGATGCTTATTGACCTAAAAATGAAGAAACATTTATTTTCAGTATGTCTTTTTGTAAAATTTATAACAGAATGAATTAAATGTGGTAAGAGATAACAGAGCGGAGCACTTTCCATTCGATAGAATTAGTTTCACCAACAATAGAAATATAATATTTATCGAGTTCATTTACAGATACAATTAATGCAGTACCAATAATAATCTAGTTTATTCGTTTACTGAGTTAGTTAAATTTAAACATTTATTATGATCATAATGTACACGGAGTGGGCGTCTCACGCTCGCGCGGCGGCCGCGCCCTTCGGGCCATCGGGCCGTCGGGCCAGGCGCGGCCGTCGGGCCAGACGCGGCCGCCGTGCGAGACGGCTCAGTGCTGTACTGGGTTACACCGCTTTACACGGGCACACTATTTTTTTTTTGTTTTTTCATTTTTATCTTCACGTACTTTATAAATATCTCGTACTTGAAAAAAATTTACACATTAAAATGTATCGGAAAGGTGCGGACGCTAGCACCGCATATACTAGGGCGCGACGCAAACAGAGGCACGCACGCACACATACATAATTACAGGCCGGGGCGGCGCCCGCGGCGGGCCGCGCCGCGCCGCCGCAGCGAAAATATACACAAATATAAATTATGAGCCGACACTAACCCGAGACTTATACCATCACATTGCGACGCACACCTATTCGTTTTCCCACCGCTACAGTTAAAATTTTCTTACATAGTAAAATTAACGGAATACTTTAAATCTAAATAAAAAGGCGCGCCGGCCCGGCCCGGCCCGCCGCCGCGCGCCACACGTCACAATTACAGTGAACTGAAACGATGACAATATTTAATTTATCGCAAACACTAGAGAAATGCAGGTCCAATACGATGGTAATATTGTGTGTCATGAAACAAAATGTATATTTAAATTCTCTGCTTTTTACACACACACTATCCGGCGGCTCACTTCGACGTCATCATGGTCACGAATTCTGCAAACAAACAAAAGGAAGCGTCAGTGTCGGTCGGCGAGGAGGGCGCGAACCGCGCGCACACCGCTACGCCAAAACGGTTAATACGAAAATATTAACACAAAACAACGATAGTAACCGACAGAAACAGAAATATCTACGAGTGACTGCTAATTCATTAAGACAGAAAACCACTAGATTGATTAATATGAATAAAAATAAAATGATGCAGGCCGCGCACCGCGCGCCCGCGTGGCGGTTGCGTGGCGGGTGCCGCCCGGGCGGCCGCGCGGTGCGCCGCGACAACGACAACCGAAGGCCGGCCTCGACATGCCACTAAAGAGCTGCGAAATACCACGGGACGGACGCGGCCGAGCCAGAGGGCGACTTCCACGGGGTCGCAGGTGGTATTTCTAAAGAATGCTAGATAGGTAATTAGACACATGCACCATACACGGGAGGGTGACGGTCCGTGTGCGGCGGCCGAGTGGAATTTTGTCGGCAGGGACAAAATTGCAGCCGATCCGCCGCGCGGCGAGGCGAGCGAGTGAGACGGTCGAAAGTGAGCGGGGACCCAGCGGGGAGGACCGGTGTGTGAGGAGGGGGGAGCGGGGGTGGCAGCTAACAGTCAAGGAACAGTTAATAACGAGCAGCAAACCATGAGGACGGCGGCATGTACCTAGTGTCGGGCGGGGCGTCGCGTGGCTCGTCTACTCTACGGGAAATCGTTTCGAGATCACAGCGTTATCGTGGAGTCTTGTTTAAGTTAGTAACTACTAGTATCACAGTGCGAAGCGCTAACGGCTGGAGTCGCCGCGTGCGAATACCATTTTGGCGAGGGCATGGAAGTCTGCAAGAGAGAGAAGCTCGGTCCGTCACAGTCGCACTTCAACGGCGCCGCGCCGTCGATGCGCTGCAGAGGGTGGTGCGTGCCACAGCGCTAACACTAAACAACATTCTCCAAGCAGAGCCTCGATTATGACACCTTCTGTTACTAGTCCGCGATCTTACAACGATTTCTTCTAACGCGCTCGGTTAATACAACGGTAATCGTTCAGGACAATCGTCAATCAAAGTCGGCGACCGATCATAATTAGGCTTTACATGACGCGACCTTATCCCAAATAAGAGCTATTTCAACAGCGTGACAACAGTGTTGCTTGTCCGCTCTGCTCGCGTTCTGTGAACAATTTGCTGTGCGACAACAGCGCTACAAGAGCCCCCGATTAAAAGGACAGCAACCACAATGTGCAGTCGCGCGGTGCGCGAGTTCTTCGTACGAAGCAACGCTTGATAAATTACTTGTATGTGTGCCTCTCGACTCGTCTATAACCTCTTATCTGCAGCTATGTTTAGTCACCTGCAAACTATAGCGCTAGCCGTAATAAGCCGTATAAACACGGCCGATGTAAGTGAAGAACTCTTCTGCTTGCACCGCCGCAGCCGCGCTGCTTTGCCGCTAATCGAAATGACTTTATGAAGTATCCAAAAGCCGAGTGTGATCCGTCAATAAAGAACTACGTGTACCGTAATGATACTTATGAGCTATCTACAAAGTACTCGGTGAAGGGTGGTGGTATTGCCGCGGTGCAGCGGTGGATACTGACCCTCGTAATTGACCTGTCCGTCGCCGTCGATGTCGGCCTCGCGGATCATCTCGTCGACCTCCTCGTCGGTGAGCTTCTCGCCGAGGTTAGTCATCACGTGGCGCAACTCGGCGGCCGAGATGAACCCGTTGCCGTCCTTGTCGAAAACACGGAACGCCTCGCGGATCTCCTCCTCGCTGTCCGTGTCTTTCATCTTGCGCGCCATCATTGTCAGGAATTCGGGGAAGTCTATCGTACCATTGCCTGGAATATGTTAACATCACCCAGTTAGACAAATATTACTTTCTGTACACAACATTTACAATGGGCTGTTTGGTTTGTATTTGAGTTTTTCAACAATTAGGTGGATGAACACCAATCATACGGATTTACATCCACTAACACCAACATTAAGGCTGTTGGTGGGCAAAATACAAGATCAAGTCACGCTGGCGATTTACATTATATTCAACCAAACACAAGTGGACCAATTAATTGGCAAGTGATAAATAGGTTTTCTAAACGGAGGCGGAATGAAAACGTCGGAGCAATAAACGTGTTATTGCAGCCATATGTTCAGCATCAACACTGCCCACTACATTCATCAGTGAATAAACTAGGAGAAAAATCCCAAAGCTTCTGTTGGTACATGCTTGACCAAAGCGCAAAAAAAAAAAGAATTTATGGTGGCATTTTTAATTTATGGTTCTGATGTATAGATTTACATCAACTGTAAATATTAGCCTGCGCAATAAACGCGGGTTGTGTTATGGGGTACCAGTCAACGCAACTTTGCAGATTCGTGTTATGACTTCAATGAAATAACATTTATAAGTTTGTACAATATTTCGGCAGCATTTGCATTTTCAAAAAACATGTTGATGAAAATAGAAGGATGCTGCTCATGACACGTATCAGTGATGATATCAACAAAAAAAACGTTTACCATTCATCACGTTTCTGTTTCATCGCGGGTAAATATTGGAACTTGGTCATATGATGTCACCCGTACCGCCTTTCCAAAGTGTGCTCACGCACATCCTAACTTGTACTATGGTCGTGAACAAAAGCTAATAATGCTACGATAGATACGGTATGTGATTACATGGGCCTATGTTACGATTACGATCAATGGTTACAGATTAGGAAAGACAATTGAGTTCGTCAGTAGGGCTAGAACAACAGGATGCGACCAGCGCGAGCGCTACATGAAATTGTTTCATGGAGATTTCGCGCTTTATGTCGCTCTCGCGCAAGTCGTGGCTTGTCGTGTTAGCCCTACGGGTTGGCACAGTGAGTGGGGAAATAAGCACTGCCCATTGGGCAGGTGGTAAAAATTAACGAAAGTTAAGTTTGGCGCGCTAATTCTGGGATTAACCTTTCCGAGAGCAGCGTGCGCACTATAAATACCGAGGTGCGCGCGCGCCGCATTCTTGCTGTTGCACCCGTCCGCGCTTCACCTACTCCGGGCATTAATTAGGGAAAGGGTGATCATAACTCCAAGGCGCGGCATTTACCGTTCTTCCAAATGTCCTTCAGGCACTCTACAAGCCGCAGCGCCGGCGAGCCGGTCCCTTGGGAACACCTTCATTGCACTCTTTTTATTCAAGCTGCGTTAACGAAAATGTTTCACCTTGAACTTTGAAATATTTTTGTAGGAACTCGGGTTTGTTGTCGACAGATTCCATTATGGAATATCCCTGTTACTTTGACAAAGTAACGTCAAAGCAATAATCGCTAATAGTGTCTCCTATAGAATCAAGCACATCTCAATGTCATCATAGAAAATATCTGCTACAATATTACTTTCTAGATCCGGTATACTTATTATGGCGTTGAGTGAAACGATGCAAGAACCTTGTCGACATGCATTGTCGTCTCACATTAGAGTTTCTAAGTTAGTTGTGCCTTCATGATTTTTCAGTTTTAAGCGTTAAATTTTTTCGGAAACTTGCGATCTAGCATTAGTAACGGCTTAAGGTTTAAGTGTAGCAACAAACATACAATTCCTTGTTGTAACGCGGAGTGGGAAGCCTTACCGAGTGGGTCGACAAGGCCGCGGGTATGACTCATACATATTATGTATGTTTATGAGTTGAGGCTATATTTTACTCTAATGTAGCGCAGTGTAAGAAAATAAAATATTTGTTAATTATACATAAATAAGAAATATTGTCGATTCGAGTAAGTATACTCTGATCGCGAGATCGCTTAGTAGTGGCAACTGATAACTTCCAATGGGTATACTTTGATCGTGATATCAGTTTTATCTACATGTAATAGTATGTTTTATGTGAAAGAATGTGCGCAATTGACCACCATCTCACCTGATGGAAAGTGACGACGAGGTCGACGATGGAGCATGCACATGTACAAGTTACAGCGTTCTGGGAATAAGTCTGTGGGCAAGAAATTCCAACCCACAGCCGTTCGCTATACAAATGGGAATAAAAATATATGTGTGGGTAGTACAATAATAGTTGCATCTGTGTTTTATCATTTATACCCACTTCATGGGTAAACTGAGCATAGAATTATTTTAAAACAAGAAACTGAACAGTTATATCTTGCGATAATATGGTATTTTACATTTATATTTTTATTTGATACGCAAATGGCATAATTAGAGTGCAATAAAACGGCAAGTGTCTTAGGCAACGCAGAACTAGTACTTCGATGGTTTGATGACGTTATCACAGTGCAGCGGCAAAGAGAAAAAGTAATGTAAAATGGAGGATGTGTTATGCAAGGCCGTACTACTCTGAGCGTCGCTCTATCAGTCCTGATAGTATTTGCAGCGATTAAATCAACAATGGGCTCGGTATTCGCATAATGTGCGGCGATAGGCGAAGTGAAGATAGTTTGGCGCGTAGCCAGTTCCGCACGAGCCCTTTCTGCGACAGCTGCACCATCTCTGTCGCATTGCTTTATAGACTGTTATTGGTCAGAACACGCCTCGTGCCGGCTACGAGTTTCGATGCGATTTGTTTGCGTGCTAAATTACCGCGCTGCATTAATACCGTGTTGTTTCATTGCATTCATTATAGAAGAAACAATTTAGTTCTATGTTTGAAATTCAATGTGTTTAGTTAATGAACAGTAATTTCTCAACTATTTCGATTCAGTATGTCTTTACTCTTTTTAATGTCCGGAAGAAAATTATGCGCAGATATATTTGTGTCGATCCAGAACAAGTCTATCCCTATCTTGTGAATCTGGGCTACCATACGTTAGTATTTGGACTTTAGCTCTCCGTCAGCGGCCGCCATTTTGCCAGATTTACACCAGGCCCGTCATTACTGACATTAACCAGAACCGTTTCTCAGAAGCGTCAGTTTGGGACAGAATTTCTGTTGTAGTGTACATCTTGCTACGAAATATTATTTTAGTATCGTAATAAGAGAAAATAATGTATATTTGGACTCATAATTGCTGATATGACAGTGTCAGAAAATGATTAGCTATAAGACAGGATGCTTGAGATGAGTTGCCTGAATTCGTCCACGGTAAAAACAGATTACTTAGAAAAAGACAAAATTCTTTCTATGAAGACAAATTTATTAAATCCAACAAAACGATCCTCTCCCTATAGACGCTAAAGAATAATTACTTGATACATTGACCTACCAACAAATGGACGTCGGGTTCGCGCTAAAGTGTCCGCACCTATAGGGCGTTAAAATGGCATACAGAGCGTCAATCGCGCAACAGTCTTTGTTCGACTGACAGGCGGTTGTCAATCATGCAGTACTATATAATAACTTGTAAAAATTACTGCAGTAAAGTGTAAAAACAGGATTTTGTATCATATTTGCACTAAACAAATAAATTGCGTTATCACAGTTATCATTTAAAAGTGTTATTTTGTACAGTCATATAGTCTTAACAATTTATATATAAATGAATCGTAAATATAAATTACAAAAGTAAACAAAATAATCAAATAATTAAAAGATAGAAGAAGACCCGTTACGTCAATTTCAAGAAGCTTATATATAAACTTCTTGGCCATTTTCAATCGTTTGAACCACAAGCGATTGAAATATTTACAACAAAGAAACTATAGAGTCGCTTTGATCTTAATCTTATTTTTAAAATGATATTTAATAAAAGTTAACAATAACACAAAATTTAAAATATTCTTTCAGAATTAGCAAATATTTTGTGAAATTGCTCTTTCTTATTAATAGAATTCCTTTTTTTCTGTGTAACAATACTTAGGCCATGCTGGAAGTTTCTGGATTAGATATTATGTTCATAATAGATTTATCGTTTTTCAAAGTATGCGCCCTCATTGTTCACATACTTTTGCATTCGTTAAAACCATTGTGAAAAGCTGTAGGATCAAGTCTGCCGTAGGTACCTCTTCAGTGGCTTCGTGGAAAGCATTCACGGCCGCTTCCGGGCTTGTAAATCGTAAACCTCTAAGTTTATCTTTGATTTTTGGAAATAAAAAGAAGTCGCATGGTGCAATGTCTGAGCTGTATCGCGGATGAGTCATCAGCTCCACATTTGGGGCCTTCAAATGCGCATTCGTATCCTTAGCGGAATGTAGATATTGCTTTGAGGACGCTTTTCGCGAACTTTTTCTAACTCTCTGGGCTAGCAAGTTTTACACACCAATCTGCAGTCACTGTCCTTTGGTCTTCAAGGGCTGCAGTAGTGCAATGTCCTGATTTGCCGAAGAAAGAAGCAACCATTTTCTTACCAGTGCTCCGACGTTTCATAACTTTCGTCCGCAAATCTTCAAAAGACCCATTCTGCGGACTGGGTTTTTAACCGGTAACACGGTAAAAACAGATTACTTAGAAAAAGACAAATTTATTAAATCCAACAAAACGATCCTGTCCCTATAGACGCTAGAGAATAATTACTTGATAATAGTAAACAAACTTCTCAAAAGTGTATTTTAGTTATGAGACAGAAATATTTAATCCAAGAGCAAATTAATTTACTTCAAGTCACAAAGCTACTCTAGATTCAACAAAATATTTATTAGTTATTAGAAATGTCCGATTTTGACTTGAAAAAGAAAAAAGAATGAAAAATTGAGAGGTACTTAATTATTTGATGGAAGATTTATGTTTTCTAATATCAAAAAGGGTAAATTTACAGGGTTATGGACCCAACAGTACGTCTCACTGGCGTGAAATTTACAGGGTTACGGACCCAACAGTACGTCTCACTGGCGTGAAAGCACACAGTTCAGTACCAAACACCTTAAAAAGTAGCAGAAATAGGATGGAATCTTCTCAAATACTGAA